CTTTTTAGATTCGGTGCCTGGCCACCATCTACGACGTGTACAACAAGGTGGACGAGCGGTCCGTGGAGCTCCGCAGCTCCTACCTGGTGCCGCCCAACGTCCTGGAGACCAACCAGCCCCCCAACGAGCCCTACGACCAGGACATGTACGACGACGGCAAGCGCGGCCGCTACCCCGGAGGTGAGGTCACCTAGGTCACGGGTTCAAATACCGGCGGGTTTTTCTTTTTTTTATTTATTTTTTCATTTTGGAGGGAGGGAGACACGGTGGAGATGCCTTTGTTGGGACACTGCTTTCCGGTCGGACATTCTTTGACCGCATTCCTCAATGGTCCAGCAAAAAAAGCAGTATAGTAAAGCTGAATGCATTTGCGCTCATCACCGTAGAATCACAGTAATCAGACGATTTAAACTTAAATTCAAACACCGTCTTGCGTTTTTTCTTGATTTTTTTCGCTTTTTGCGATGCAGAAGGCGCTGGAATTTTATTTCGTTCCAAATTTATGTTGTTTTTTTATTTTCCTTATTCGTGCGCTACTCTGCTCGAAGCACCGGGGGGACGCGGGCCTTTTACCTTTAGGCTGCAAAGAGGGTGAGGACGAGCAGGATGAGCCAACGACCTTTATTTCTTTTTTTTTAGTTTTTATCCATCCCCTTCTCTTTACGTTAAAGAGGGTCCGGATTTGCACTGAGGGTGGATAGACACTGGGGGGCCTCGGCCGGCCGAGGGAGAGTGAGTGAGAGGGCGAGATAGCAGCAAGGAGAAAGACGGAGAAAGGCGCGTAAGCCCTTCGGAAACATTATCAGCCCCCTGCCGATACGGGCTGGGCCGGGCTGGGCCAGCGGCCCCGGCTAGGCTGCTGGAGGTCAGCCTTATGAGCGCCCCGACCTGTCCGTCGCTCTGTCTCTCTCGCACTCGCCAGCCGGGCCGCAGGGTGCGAGAGAGACAAGCCGCTTCCTTGGGGCTTGCTTATCCTGCCGGATGCCATCAGTCTGTGCAACACTGCGCCCCGCCACACTTCCTCGCTAGATTAGTTCCCACAGTGTAATGGCAGCCAAATCTGCCATAACTCCCCAACTAATCCCAACCTAATGACGCCGTTATTTTTTCCTCTCTCCCTCTCTCCCTCTCTCTCTCTCTCTCTCTCTCTCTCTCTCTCTCTCTCTCTCTCTCCCCCTCTCTCCCTCTCTCCTCCTCTCTCCTCTCTCTCTCTCTCTCTCTCTCTCTCTCTCTCTCTCTCTCTCGCTCGCTCTCTTTGTCCCTCGCCTCTCCTTTTAGTGCGAGCGCCGTTAAAATCTTACGCCAAAGTCATAACTACCCCTGCGTTTATCCCGCGGCTACTCCAGCGCGAGCATTTTATTAATCTTCAAGTCATTCCGGCCACATTGTAGTGGCCGCGCGCGGCCACAGTGACGAATTGGGGTGCGAAAAAGGGAGAAAGGGATTTTGTTGTAAAAATAACAAAAATGAGTCGGCGGATGCGTTCGAGGGGGTCGATGCTGCGCTGCTGTCCATCAGTGCGCCGCAGAGGGGGGCGTCCGAAGCGGTTCGCTGTCTCTCTCGCTCTGCCGCGGCGCGCCCACCCCTCGCACGCAGCGCTCTCTCTCGCTCTCCGGTCCGTGTAATGAAATTCCGCGCTGACCGCGATCATGCAGCCGTGGCCTCCGCAGCCTCTCCCCTCCCCCCCCCCCTTCCCCCTTTCCGGTCGCGGCCGGCCAGTCGGCCTAATAGACCTCCAAAGGGCTGCGCGGGGCTGCGCCTGTGTAGTGAGACCTCCTGGTGGGGTGACGTCATCAGCCACCGCACTGTTTAGAAAAAAAGGGTCAATTTATATTTACACCTTTCGAGCGAAGAGCGCGAAGAAAGGCACGCCCAGTGGGCCAAGACCGGTGGAGGCGGCCAAACCTCTAGACGCGTTTTGTGCTCCAGAGTGGCTAAATGGGACTCGAACCGGACGTGTACCAATGGATTGCTCTCCGGCGAGGAATCCATCGGAGGGGTCACACGTTAGGTTCGAGTCCCGTTTAGCGACTCTGGAGCTCGAAACGCGTCTAGAGGTTTGGCCGCCTCCACCGGTCTTCTGGCCCACTGTGGCACGCTTATCTCGGGGTTTCGACGCGAGGTTTTCTGGTTTCGGTCTAGTGCTGGCTCCGCGAGTGGGAGCGCGACGCGCAGAAATCCAGACACTGTACTCTGAGTGATACAGTTCGACGTGTAGGGACGGGGCTGAGGTACATCATTGGTTTCTGGTCACGCCCCCGGGGACGTGCGGCTCGACGTGCCGGCGGGGCGGGGCGGGGCGGGGCGGGGCGGGGCGGGGCGGGGCAAAACGAGGCCGCGGTGGGACTCCAGGACGCGACAGGTGTGGCGGGGAAGTCGGAAAAGGGTTCAAATCAAGGTCCGCCGCGAGAGGGCGGTGGTTGGCTGGCAAGACGAGGGGGGTGGGGAGATATTCAAAAGCAGGAGCAAAGGCAGTGTAGTAAGATTCGAAAGCAGTATTCAGTAAGATTTGAAGGCGTGTAGAGCGAGACACGAAGGGTGGAAGGCACTGCGGATAGGTGCACAGCAAGAGAGAGAACGCATCCCAAGGCACAGCAGACGAAAGAAACATGCGCCACACCCTGCACCCTTGCGTGTGTGTGTGTGGGGGGGGGGGGGACGTGTCAATCATCTGACGTGCTTTGCTTTGCTAATGGGCGCTACACGTGCACCGCGTGCGGGGGAGAGAGACGGGGTGAGGCGGGGCGAGGCGGTGCGAGAGAGAGGGAAGTCGCTCACCTTCGGACGTAGTGCAAACACGCACGCCGCATGTGTCAACGCGCGTCTGTCTAGCTCATCTCCCTCATCTACCCGGCCAGCCGTCGGGCCGGCTGCCGGCTGCCTTACCTACCTGCATGCACAGTGGGCCAGAAGACCGGCGGAGACGGCCAAACCTCTAGACGGGTTTTGAGCTCCAGAGTCGCTAAATGGGACTCGAACCTCTCCGAACGAGGAATGCATTGGTGGGGTTACACGTTTCGATTCGAGTCCTACTTAGCGACTCTGGGAGCCCCCCAGATTTTGACCGTCCCCACCGGCCTTCTGCCCCACTGTGCCACGGTTCCGCCGTGTCTCTCAGACGCCCGTCTTCTTCTTGTTCCAGATCCGTCGGCCGCGGCGCGCGCCTGCGTGGAGGCCGCGGTGCTTGTCGCGGCGCTGGGCGCGTCCCTGGTGCTGCAGGCGGTGTGGCGGTGAGCGGGCCGCTGCCCCCCGTCGTCGAGGCCATCCTGTCGGTGAAGCTGCCCGACCAGCCCGACCAGCCCGACCGCACGCAGCCGGGGGCTGGCTGGACCGCAGCGCGCCTCCAGACGGCGCTGAGGGAGAGAGAGAGCTGGCCGTCTCTCTCTGTCCTGGAACGGCGCCTCACCGCGCGACTCCGGCGTGCTTCTAGTGCCCCGGCCTGACTGCCGCGGCCTGACTGCCCCGCCCCCTCCACTGGCGGCTTGCTGGCCCGGCGTGCTGGCTGCGTCTCGTACTCCTCGCCCTGCTCGGCACCGTGCGCGGCCTGGCGCGGCACTGCCGCGGCCTCTTCCTGACGTCTTCCCGCCCTGAGCAACGCCGTCGGCCCCGCCCAAGCCCCGCCCAAGCCCCGCCCCGGTCGGGCCGCGAACGTGAATCTGAACCTGAATAACTAGCGGGCTGGTGCGCACCCTGTAAATTATTCTAATAGCCTTTCTTCGCCAATAAACACAGTTGTTGTTGTGCTGCTGCTGCTGCGGTTGTAAATAGAGTGCAGTTCGCCAACAATGCGCGCGCGCTGGCAAGGCAGCGAATCTACCATCGGGTGGCGGTAGCGCGGCGTGCACACATGATTTTGTAAATAGGCGCGTCATGTTGTTCACTTTTTTCGTTTTGTTTCTGTGCAATGGCCGTGAATTTTAAATGGTATTTGATGCGGCAGCGTCACCTCGCCAGGGGGACGGCTGCCTCTTTCCCCCGAGCTTCTACGGCGTGGCCAGCCAGGCCAGGCAGTCAGAGAGCTGTCGGCCGGCCCCCTGCCCTGACCCAACCTATCCACAAATTACGTCATCACAATCCCCCCTCTCCCCCACCAATTCAAGTGCTAGGCTAGGAACGCTCTCCCAACCTCCCCCCCCCCTGTCTCAAGATGACGTAATTTGTGGACGGCTGTGCCGCGCAGCCCGGCAAGGTAAATCGAAGAAAAGCGCTACGAAAGGGGAGCAATCGCTAGTCTAAGGTACAAACAAATTACGCCTTATTTTATTATTGATGTATAAAAATGTTACAATGTTATGTTGGCGAACTGTGACCAGCGCTGTATTTAGGAGGATGTGGCAATATCTAAAAAAGAAAAGTCAAAGGAAACTGATTGCCTGTATATACTTCGTCGTTTTAAGGTACTTCCAAACCATGGTTTGCGGTGTAGTGTTTCACTGAGGACCTACAGTGTCAAGAGTCGGCAGCTAAAATAATCTTTTTACGTTCTTAGCTACTGGTTATGTGTGCAAAGAAAGGCGTTAAGTAAACCCATTCAACTGACACAAGCAAGACTTTACCTTCAAACCAAAAAAAAAATCCCGTTTTCCTTTTTTTTACGCATGTCTTTAGCTTGGTTGTAGAGGATTGCGGTGCTATCTTCTTAAAATAATCACTATAGTGCTCGATTAACAATAGCTGCTATATTTTGTGGACTGGAACTGTTTGCCATTACGCATACTTGATGTAAATATATAATCTAACCAACCATTTGTGATTTTTATGTAAAAGTGTACGTTGTACATATAATGTATAAGTGTATATTGTATATTGCGTATGAAATGATATGAGTGAAAGTGTCTGTTCCGCGTGAAGAAAATTAGAGGCCGTCAGAGGCCCGGCGACCGCGAGGTCGCGAGGTGTTGGGGTGCCGAGAAAAAGGCAGAGTCGGTTCCTCTCCTTGGGAGTGTGTAGCAGGTGCGCCGGAACGCGTGGATGCGATGGAGAAGTGGCAGTCGTTCTGATGAGAACCTGACCCAGTTGTTGTGGGGGCAAGGTCAATATGATGAGGTTCAGGAGGCCCGTCGGGACGCTGCGAGCCTAGTCCCTCCGAGTCCCTCCACGCGCTCCGAGACTCCGAGGAGGCTTTCGACCGATCGAACGCCGTTCGAGTCGATTGCTGACGCTCCCACGACACTGCGAGATTTGCCGGTAAACTAGTTCTGAGTGGAAGATTTTATATTTATGAACCTGATTGGCTGAATTTATTTAGCAGGCGTGAATGTTTCTGATGAAAGTTTCTATTTGTTTCTCTGCATTGTGAATATAACAGGCATTTCCTCCAGGGAACATTGTTTTAATGTCTTATTGTTTCAAATTGACTATTAAGATTTGGGCATTACCGGAACGAAGTTAAATGTCCGGGCTATACTATAAAATGTAGGGACGAAAGGTTCACCAATAAAGTATGTTTGTTTAGTTCAAAGAGGCATGTATTCTTTCTCTCTCACACACACCTGCATTGGTACACAGCCAGCTGGTAACTACGAAAGTCAAGTTGCGACTACGCTCTACGCACACTACACAATCCTCCTTCTCTCTCTCTCTCTCTCTCTCTCTCTCTCTCTCTCTCTCTCTCTCTCTCTCTCTCTCTCTCTCTCTCTCTCTCTCTCTCTCTCTCTCTCTCACGGACGACAGAAAGACACCCGAACCGGGCCGAAGCCCGAAGCCAATCTTCTCCTTATGACTGCGAATAATCCGAAAAGGTCTTCCCGAAAAGTTTGTAACAACCGACATAAAGTCGCGGGGCGTTCGCCTGTCAGGCGAACACGCGTCTCGCGGGGGCGTCAGCCCGGCCGGCCCGGCCGACTGGTTCATATGCACGCCCCGCCCCGCCCCGCCCCGCCCCGCCCCGCCAAGTCACGGACGAGTTTGGAAAAGGCGGACGGGACGCGTTCACTGGAAAACGACACTATTCCCCGAAACGAGACGGCGGCAGCCGTGCGGTCCACTGCGCAGTCCAGCGTCGCGAAAGCCGGCTCGCATTATTTACAGAAAAAGACGACAAAATACAGGAGTGGCCCCTGGTTTTGGATGCGGGACGTGGCGTCTTTCAGTCCGGCCGCGCTGCGTATACTCCTTGCTGGGGCCACACTCCTTGCCCGGAGTCGGCGATACCCCGCGCGCCCCGCGGTCCGGGGTAGCGATGTCGTCCAAGGCAGTTCCAGGCTGTGCGTACGCCTCGGCGTATGCCTCCCAGCGATAAGTACGAATCGTGAAGTCACAACAAAACGAATGAAAATGAACGCGGAGCGGCGCGATGGTTTTGGACTCGGACTTCCGCGGGAGAGTCTAGGGGTTGAGGAAGATGAAGGACCAGTAGAGGATGGTGATGATGATGCAAAAGCACCAGATGCGCTCCAGCGTCCCGGCCAGGATCCGCCACTCCTTGCGGTTGCGCGCGTAGCTCAGCTCCAGCGAGTTCTCCATGTGCATGGCCTCGACGCCGGCCTCACGAGGCAGCGGCAGGATGGCCACCGAGTCCGAGTGCGGGCCGTCGGGGCCGTCGGGGACCGTCGGGGCCGTCGGGGTCGTCGGGGGCCTGAGGTGCAGCCACCTGAAAGACACCGAGCCAGTCACAGTGGGCGGCCGAAGCCCTAGACGCGTTTTGAGATCTAGAGTCGCTAAATGATACTCGAACCGAACGTGTGACCCCACCAATGGATTCCTCGAAGAGCAATCCATTGGTGGGGTCACACGTTTGGTTCAAGTATGGCGGGCTGCGACTCTGGAGCTCAAAACGCGTCTAGAGTTTTGGCCGTCTCCACCGGTCTTGTGGCCCATTGTGGAGCACCATCCAACTCCTTAATTTGGCCCTGCTTGGCGCTGCGTGCGGGTAATACACTCGGTAAGGTAATTAACGTTGATATCGAGGCCCCAAGAGGGCGCATTTTCGGTGTTTTGCAGTGCAGGCATGTTTCGCCCGGGAATGTGAACGGGTCTCGAGATAAAGATACTTCCCGTACGACCCGAGCCACGTCCGGCTGGGCCTCGGCGGAGAGGGAGAGAGAGGGGGGGGGAGTCCTCGAGAGGCCTGCTGCGCAAACTCGGGTTATGCCCGCGCAAATACGGCCAAGTGCCCCGCCGGGGCACTCTCTCTCTCTCTCTCTCTCTCTCTCTCTCTCTCTCTCTCTCTCTCTCTCTCTCTCTCTCTCTCCCTCCCTCTCTCTCTCTCTCCCGGGGCGCCCCGTGCGTGCGAGGGAGACAGACTTACGTTATCGATGACGCCCGCCGAGATCCAGCTGAGCAGGGGGTGCGTGAGGAGCAGCGAGACAGGCCAGCACACCGCGGAGATGCGGGGCGTGCGCACCACGTTCAGCAGCGACACGGTCATGAACAGGGTGACCGTCGCCAGCGAGAGCACGCACGTGTAGAACTTGACTGCAACACGAGCGTCACTCCGTCTCTCTCTGTCTCTCTCACACGCACTCGCGAGAGAGACAGACAACTAACCGATGTTGGGCGTGTGGTTGGTGAAGATGGGCACGAGGTGCGACATGAACAGCAGGGAGAAGGACAGGACGATGATGTTGATGCCCTGCAGCAGGACCTTCTCCGTGCGTTCGTAGGGGATCCAGAAGTTGGCCATTAGAATCATGACGCTAGCTAAAAAAATTGAAAAAGATTAGAATATTAAAGAGAAAACCATTTTTTTTTAAATTTTAAAATTAAAAAAAAATTTAAATTTTTTGAAATTTGCCAAAAATTGTACATTTTAAGATTTTCCAAAATTTAAATAGCTTTTTTAAGTCGGAAAACATTAGATCCACCCACTTGTGACAGGCGCGGCGATGACTTGGTGGTAAGCCGCGCCCATCCGCGTTGCCGTGACGGTGAAGCTCACGTCGACGTACCACTCGGGGCAGCAGGCGTACAGCGTCTCCTTCCTCTCGAAGGCCGTCTTGACCACGCCCCACGTGGAGCCTTGCACGTGGGGCTGCGGAGCGGGCCAAGCCGAATGGAGAGAGAGACGACAGTGATGGATAGCCCTCCTTCCCTTTTGTCTTTGCCCCGCTGTTCGATACTCTCAATACCCTCTCGATACCCTCGATACTTTTGATAATCTCGACAATCAATACTCTATTCAATCTCGACAATATCAATACTCGCGATACTTTCAATACTCTCGATTCTTTCGATACTATCTCGATACTCTCAATACTCTCGATTATTTTGATTCTTCCGATACTCTCGATGCCCTCGACACCCTCGATACTCTTGATACTCACGTCCAGAGTGAAGGTCTCGTTGTGCACCACGATGTCCACGTGGTTCTTGTCGTACACCCAGGAGCCCATGCGGAATTCGCAGGTGTGTTCGTCGTAGGGCCAGTGCGTCAGGTCCATGTCGCAGTACACCTCGAGGCGCGTCATGGGCACCCAGATGACGCTCCCGTCGTTGGTCACCACCATCTGGGACGTCTCGTAGTGGCTGGCCGACATGCCCGGGCTCGTCGCACTAAAAAAAAGAAAATTATTTATATTTTTTTAAATTTCTATTTTTTTTAAATATATTTTTCCGTTGGCAGCCCTGGCGACCCACCTATTGTACAGCATGATGTCCGGCTGCCACACCTCGTGGTCCGCGACGTGCAGCGTGCTCAGGTTGCCGTACTGACTGGGAGTCCACGCCAGCTTGGGGTCGGTCCAGAACTGCAACAGCGCCACGCTACCGCCCTACTGCTCAGAGATGCTCGTCGCAACCCCGAGGGAAAACGCAAAGGGGGCGGACGACTGTACTCTCAAGAGCAGCGGATTGCTTCGGCGACTGATTTTCCCTCATCTACGGTGCTGCAGTGTAAGCTACCCTACTGGTTCACTCACTCGTGAAGCACTCGTGAAGGACCTCTGGCCACGGTACTCACCATTTTGATCCACACGTCCAGCGACATGGTGCCCGCAAACTCATCCTGATAGACAAGAACAACAGCAATGTGAAGTCTGCTTCCGCTGCAGCAGGGCGCCCGGCCCGGCCCGGCCGGCCCGTCGGACTCACCACGCTGACGTGCTTGACCACCACCAGCAGGTCCACCTCGGTGTGGGCGTCGTGCGGGTGCGGCCGGGCGAACTTGTCGTAGCCCAGCAGCAGGTCGTGCTTCAGCCGGTCCGTCTGCGTCTGGTTCCACAGCGGCTTGGTGCGGCGCGTGGCTGCAACAGGCGGCCAGTTAGCGTTCCTGTTCGGCCACTCTAGAGCTCAAAACGCGTCTGGAGCTTTGGCCGCCTCCAGCGGTCTTCTGGCCCACTGTGCGTTGGACGCGGGGAACAGTTGGAGGATGGAGTAGCGGTGCTCGCCGGTACCGCGGGAGCGCCTGTCGTCGGCAGGGTAGGCAACACGCTGCGCACACCTGTAGCCGTGCGGCCTACCTGGCCATTACCATTAAGGGCTAGACCACAACTGATCGTACCGGGAGTTCCGTGGGGACGGCGTCGTGGCCGCGGACAAGAGCACTACTCACAGGTGAGCGGCAGCTCCGAGGTGGCGGTCGGCGTGGAGGTGGTGGTCGTCCTGGTGGTGGTGCTGGCCGGGGTGGCGGCCGCGAGGACGCCGTCGAGGAGGACCGCCGCCAGCAGCACCAGCAGCACTGCCTGGTTCGCCATGGCGACGCGTCGCGTCGTCGGCGTCGTCCTGGAGGCCTGGGGGCGCTCGACCCACGACACTGGAAGGGCAGACGGCTGCGTCGGCCTGGGGCTCTGTTAGGACACTGCGAAGGGTCTGGGTCACCGGGCTAAAGCCTCGGCCAAAGCCAGGGCCCAGCCGGCCAGCCCAGCCCAGCGGACACGGCTTCGGACTCCATCATCGCCAATTACTCCCCCCCCCCCCTCGACCTATCCGGACCTGCGTGGTGCCGCGCTGCAGCCTGTGTGCCCGCCCGTCTGGACCGCCCCGTCCACGCCACTCTAATGAAAAAGCGGCAACGCTCGCAGGATGCCTGCAGGATGCCTGCGATGCCGAAACAATGTATCGGCACTGTATATTGCTTTCCGGGATTCCGGGAAGCCTCCCCTCGAGCGCGCGCCGACGCGCCGGATCACCGATCTCTGTTATTCCACTTCTCTGGACCGGTGGCCTGGAAACATGCGACGCCCGGGGGGGGGGGGGGGGGCTTTCCCCCGGCCGTCTGCCCTGGAGGGGGCAGCCAGTCCACCAGATGCAACCGGCGGCAGCGCTTCAGAAATCGCATCGCGCGCCGATTGGTCGTCCGGCTGTCGACTCGGGATCAATAAAACGCCATTTTCGTCTCGGTGCTGTTTTCGTTCTTTTTTTTTTGTCTGTTTCCGCGGCGACTGGCGGCAGCGCACCGGCAGCGCCGGCAGCGCCGTCTCGTTTCTTTTTTTTTGTGAAAATCACGGAAAATGATTGACCGGAGTTTTTTTGCGTGCCGCTGTCACGCTGTCGCGGAGAGGTCGGTGCGTGCGACAGAGACAGGCAGCGCGCCCGTCTGTGCGCACGCGCTGCGGTGCCGCCATGGTGCCGCCATGGTGCCGCCATGGTGCCGCGGCCCCCTCGTCTCTGCCGCTCTGTCTCTCTCGCACAGCTGCGAATCGGCCCGAGCACTGCGAGGGGCCGTGGGGTGGGGCAGACACTTCTCATTCCTCGTCTCTCTCGCTCAGTCTTGAGAGAGTGTGGCGCTGGGGCAAAGCTTCTGTCTCTCTCGCACTCATGGGTTGTTGCGTACAGGGGAGCGGGAGGGGAGGGTCAGAGCATGTCGTCAGAGCGACGGAAAGATTTGAAAGAGTATCCACGTCACCTGGAAACACTGGCCGAGTAAAAGAAGAAGCGAAATCGAAAAGGTGGATTTCGTGACTCCGAAGTCCGACTCACAGTGGGCGAGAAGACCGGTGGAGGCGGCCGAAACTCTAGACGCGTTTTGAGCTCCAGAGTCGCTAAATGGGACTCGAACCGAAAGTGTGACCCCACCAATGGATTGCTCCTCCGAACGACGCATCCATTGGTGGGGTCACACGTTCGGTTCGAGTCCTGTTTAGCGACTCTGGAGCTCAAAACGCGTGTAGAGTTTTGTCCGCCCCCACCGGTCTTCTGGCCCACTGTGCGACTGCACAGTTGCAGTTGAGGCGTTGAGCCTCGTGGGAAGCGCGCTTGGTGGCGGCTGGCGCGCTGGCGGCGGGGTGTTGCACGCGGAGGGGAGGGGGTTCGGTTACAGTGGGGCTGGTCAGGGCGTTACAGCCGCGCGCCGCCCCGCGCCGCCCCGCGCCCTGGGCCTGGCGGGCTTTGGTGGCCGGCTGCCCTAACCTCTCCAGCGCCGTCAGCCTTCCAGCGCGCTCCCGGAAGGCGATGACAGCGCGCCGAGGACGCGTCTGAGGTTCGGTCTGAGGCGAGGCCCACACCCTGGTCACTCTCATCGGCCGGGGAAAGACAGAAGGCAGTCCGAGGACGGGCGTCCTTCGCGACTCTGGCGCCAAACGCACGGCGGGTCGTCGTGGAAGAGCGCAAGCACGGCGTCGGCCCACTGCAAGGATCTCGCCGACAAGCCAACACTCACCGAGTCGCAGCGAGCAGACGAGGCACAGCCGCTGGGAGGTGCGATGATGCCTGGACGGCCGATCGGCTGTGGCAGGGATCGTTATACTGAGCAGGATCGGCAGACGGTCCGGCGTCGCGCGAAGCAGCAGGCAGCCCTCCTGGACGAGTCCCGGACGAGTCCCGGACGAGTCCTGGACCGGGCACAGCTTGGCGGGGAGGCGGGCTGGCGGCGACCTGCGCAGGCGCGGCCCGGCCACCACGTGCACACCACCCCCAGGACCTCCATGCCCGGGGCCCAGGCACAACAGCCGCCGAGGCCAGCCCCTGTCCCTCATGCCCCTGCACAGTGGGCTAGAAGACCGATGGAGGCGGCCAAAACTCTAGACGCGTTTTGAGCTCCCGAGTCTCTAAATTGGGCTCGAACCGAACGTGTGACCCCACTAATGGATTGCTCTCCGGAATTCTTTGGTGGAGTTACACGTTCGATTCGTGTCCCATTTAGCGACTCTGGAGCTCAAAACGCGTCTAGTTTTGACCGTCCCCCACCGGTCTCCTGGCCCACTGTGCCCTGCCTCCCTGCTCCTGTCGCCTCTCCCTCCACGACTCTACAAGTCAAAGACAGAGTCGATATGCTTCACGGCGAGATGGGGATTATGTGGCTGCGACTTTACACCTTGGATCCATCAGACTGATTCCGCACGGCCGTCTAGTCCTGAGGCGTCCCGTGAGGGTGCGAGAGAGACAGAGCGACAGACGACCACCGCCACACACGCGGCATGCGAGCGTGACGCGAGCGAACCCCTCTCTAATCTTTTCCTCAGAACGGTTCCCTGCCCCCTTCCCGCCTTCCGGGATCGCCGATGCAGAGCAGCCGAGCCAGACGGTGGCTATCAGTACCAGTCGCCAGTCTTGGCCCCGGCCACAGCCAGCCAGCCAGGCGCAGCCAGGCAAGGACTCGCGTTCGACAGGCCGCCTGCTTGAAATGCGTGCCGTTGTGCACCGTGAGCCCTGACCAGCGCGCCGCCCTTGACCGCGTCCTCCAGGACGAGGACCTGCACCGCCAGCGCCATGGACAGCCTGTGGACGTACTGCGCCTTCCTGGCCGCCCTGGCCGTCCTGGTGCGCGGCGAAGAGGGGAGCGCCGCCAGCCAGGTCAGCCACGACCTCGTGATGAAGCTGCTGAACCACCTGGCGGAGAAGCGCGACCCCCTGGTGCGGCCCGACCTCAACGCCACCAACCTGGACGTCACGCTGGGCGTCAAGCACCTCACGCTGGTCTGTACTTGCACTGTGTCCGTCTCGCACCCACACGCCACATGAGTGTGAGAGAGACATCATGGCTGGGCTGCTGACGGTGGAGTGACGACGGTTCATGTTTCAGGACGAGAGGTACTCCACCATCAGCGTCAACGCCTGGATCAAGATGGTGAGTACGGTATTGTGCTGGGGCCAGTGTAGGCACGTGCTGTGTCCAAACTTCTTTCCAGCGAAACGGCGAGGTTGGCGTTGAAACCGGGTCCGGTGTGTGCTGTTGGCAGGAGTGGCGGGACACGCGGCTCGCCTGGGCAGACACGGAGGAGTTCAAGCCCATCATGATGATGCACTTGGAAAGCGGCTGGTACTGGAAGCCGGACTTTACGCTCAAGAATAGGTAAGCCCCCTAACCTAACCTGACCTAACCTAACCTAACCCAACCTAACCCGGCCGTTGCTTCTCGAGCCTGGCAGGCAAGGCCGCGACACTGCAGGACAGCAGCGCGCAGCTGCTGGTGTACCCGGACGGGCGCGTGACCTGGACGCCGTCCGCCATGCTGGAGTCGTTCTGCGACCTGGACTTGCGGCGCTGGCCCTTCGAGCAGCACGCCTGCACGCTGCAGTTCGGCTCCTGGACCCTGGACCGCGACGAGCTGACCTACGACAAAGTCAAAGTGCACCTGGAGGTAAGCGGCCGGGCCTGCTAGAGTCGTGGAACAGAGGCTAGGTTAGGCCTCCTCGGTAGCGAAAGGATGTTTAGCAAACCCAAACTGCTCATTTAATTATTTTTATTTCTACAGTTTCCTGGGCAGACGGGCGAGTATGTCGTGGACCGTGTGATAATTGACCAGGACTTGATGGTGGAGCAGTCCATTGACAGCGGGAGCCAAGAGTACGACCAGGTCGACTTCATATTCCTGGTTCATCGGGAGCCGGGCACTTACCGAGCCATCATCTTCACGCCAGCCGCAGGTCAGGTACACTCCGAGGGAAAACATTAATTAAGAAACGTGCGGCGAAGTGACGCGCTGGTGTCCTCATGTTGCAGTGGTCATTATCCTCTGCCTGTCTACGTTCTGGCTGCCGCCACGCGCGGGCGAGAAGGTAGTCCTGGGGGGCGTCAACGCCATGCTCATCTGCTTCTTCCTCATCTACTTCGCCCACAGCCTGCCGATACTCACGGACCAGACGCCGTTCATAGGTAGCCCAGTGGGCCAGAAGACCGGTGGAGGCGGCTAGAATTCTGGTCACGCTTTGAGCTCCAGCGTCTCTAAATGGGACTCGGACCGCACGTGTGACCCCACCAATGGATTGCTCTCCGAACGAGGAATCCATTGGTGGGGTCACACGCTCGGTTCGAGTTCCATTTAGCGACTCTAGAGCTCAAAACGCGTCTAGAGTTTTGGCCGCCTCTACCACCGGTCTTCGCGGGCCCACTGTGGGTGGGTGTCCTCGCAACCGCGCCCGCCAAACCCAACAAACACAGATCTGTGGTGCCCGCAGTGATGTTCTACTCGGCCAGCTTGTACCTGGTGAGCGTGTCGCTGGTGGCGTCCGTCCTGGTGCTCAACATATCGCGGCAGCCGCACGCCGCCAAGCTGCCGTGGGCCCTCATGAGCGTCCTGACGGGGCCGTGCGGCCGAGCCCTGCTCCTCACGGGCTACATCGAGCAGGTACTGTACAGTGACCGTCACTACCCCACGCGCGGACTCTCCCAGAGACTCCAGCGCGCGGGGTAGCGATGACGTTCGTGTGGGCGGGAAGCTTGAATATGCCTTGCCTGCCTGCTCGCAGATCATGGGCATGGACGTAGGGCCGTGCCGCGGCCGCGCGGGCAGCCGGCGGCAGGAGGAGGTGCCCGTGGTGATGCACGAGGAGCTGACGGAGACGCTCACGTTCGGGCAGCGGCAGGGCGACGCGGCGGGGCCCCAGGAGCAAGGAGAGTCCGGCAGGGCCAGCAGGGCCACGGGGGAGATCGCCTGCCGCAGCGTCAACCCCAACATGGACTGGCTGCTCCTGGGCGCCGCCATCGACCGCGTGCTGTTCGTCGTGTACTCGCTGCTGTTCGTCTGCCTCGCCATCGCCTTCCACCTCTAGGAGCCACGCCGCCTCACTGCCACGGCGTTTGTAACAGTGAGCGAACCAATAATAAAAAAAAAACGCCAGTTGTCTCATTTTTTAATTTAGTGAAAATTATTTTCACGCATGCCAGACGACACACTGTGATTGGTAAACGGGGTATGAACAATACAGCCAAAAGTGCCTTCAACACAAATGCCACAATTTATTTACAGTGAACCCTTCTCATTGAAAAGTGCTTTAGAAAAGTAGAAAAGTTCTACCGATAAAGCAACGGTAACATGATGATCAAAATTTACAGACATCACAAATTTGCATATCATTGTATATCACAATCAGTCAGTAATCTTACACTACTAAGACATGTACAATCACTTGCGTGTAGAAATAAACTATAGTAAGCACAAAAAAGTATGTACATTTAATACATATTCTATCCCATGACTCAAGTAACAATTTAATAATGAACATAGAAAGGCTAGTGGACATGATAATACAGTAATACAGCTACCTGGCTTGACAGAACACACATTAAAAGAATCAAAACTATGATACAAACACAAATGAAATTTCACAGAAAAGTATAAGCACCATACAACAACTATCTAGAAACCCATAAAGCTATTTGTGCAATTTTCTACTGCCTCCCTCCAATGGGATATGGGTCTGCATTGCTCATTGTTCTTCTTTGCTCAGCAGCAGTGCGATCATCAGGCCCAACAGCGCTTTCACCTTCAACAGGTGTAACATCGTCCTCATCATCAACAGTCACTTCATCATCCTCTGTTTTGAGAACTTTGATGAGCCCATGTTCATCCGCAAGCGGAAGTAGATCACAAATGAGTTGAGACTCTACAGTAAGGATGTATTCACATGTTCTTGGCTCCATTAGGTAGAGAGAAACTGACCCTGGACTTGGACTCTGATCTGGACACTTCAACTTAACCTACATAAGAGAAAATAATTAGGAGAATTTGCCAAAAATGAGACATAAAACACTGCAATTAGATTCAGCATACCTCAGTGTGCCTTGGACGCCCTGTCTTGTCACAAGGGGTGCCTCCAGAGTAAAAGTGGGATATCTGTTTGCGAATAGCAACAGGCTTTGGTTGTTTGTGGGGGTTTTGTTTGAGCCATTCTATATGACGCTCGGCATTGAAGAAGCCTAACTGTACAGTCGTCTTACTGCTAGAACCAGCGTCAATATGATACTGTTCTACATGCCTACCATAACAGAATTCATATTTCCACCAAGATGATGAACCCTGTAAAAGAATGGTATGATTTTAATAAAAGCTAAAACCAAATTGTTACCTCATAAAATACTTTTTTTTTTTTTTTTGAGGAGGTACTTACACCTGTGAGACACCTTTTTCCAGACAGAAAGTCTTGAGCAGGTGTAGTATCAGCTGGAGTTCGTGTATTCAGGAGAGGAGGAGATACTGTGTCCTCAGTGTCTAACATCTCAACAGGAAGGATTTCGACATGGACATGTTGCTCGCCATCCTGTTTAAATAAAGAAATAGGATTTTATGTAGAGACATGAATATAAATGAATTTAACATTAGTCACATTTTTGCTGAGCTCCTGGTAATAATTTAATTTTTGATGTCTGCAATCCTATACCTTACCATTTGTTCACGAAACAAAGCAAAACACATGAAAGACCAAACACATTCAGGAAAACAATCAAAGTTAATATTACCATGCAGAAGGACACATATTTATTTACATGCACAGGAAAAGACAATATCATGCATATGTGGCAGAAACCATAGATAAATCACTTTGTTAAAAACCCTCCATCGCTTTGTGAGCGGATTTACTAGCAACTATTACGTACATCAAAGAGCCATCACCACAATTCACAAGCAAATTAGATATGGATGGACATCCCAGGGTACATATATTATTTATGTGAAAGTATAAAGAAATTTATTTTCATAACAAGTTATCTAGGGGCAAAATTTTAAAATGATCCATTTATTACTAAAAGGTGAAGGGTAAAAAAATTGTAAGAACAAAAAGCAAAGTGCCTTGCTCCAGAATCTTGACAGCAAAATTTCTTATAAATGAAAGCATGCCGCAGTCAAAAATTCTCCACCACAGAAACTTGAATCTGTAAAACAGTAATGGATTTTCAGGACTTACACATGGTGAAACCAAATTTCTGCCAACGGTTAATCAAATTAAGAGGTTGCTACAAAAGCCACTAGGGATGTACAATCACTCAAAAATAAAGGAAACACATCATCAACCAAAACAGATAAGGACAGATATTTAATCCCAGGAAAAGCCATTACCAAGCAAAGCACTAAATTCTGTACAATGAGAACAGGAGGACATCAGAGAGTTAGAAATTAAAAGGAATTTAAAGAAAATTTAACATCAATGAGGAGATGAAGAATTACTGAATAAGGTCTCGCAAAGGTTGTGGTCATGAATTTCCTTAGTGAAGGATACATCATCCCCACACTTTAAGAATGAATAACAAGTGGGACAAGTAGTGCAAATAAACAGGCCTGATTGTTCAACACCAACCTGTCCAACATCAACCGAAACTGCATAAATTTTCTTCTGACCATCATCCTGTTGAAAAAGTTAATGATTAGTTTCAATATGAAACACTGTGCTTTAGCTAAAACTTGTGCATAAAAACAAACACAAACAGCCTCTTGATAAACTAAATAAAAATCGTTTTTAAACGAACTAAAATCTCAATAACACAACTGTAGTCATAATACAGAGTGGTAAGAAATAGGTGGAAAAAGACAATTGAAGATGTAGCTAACCACATGCATCTTTCAAGATTCAAATTAAGTAAATAAAAGCATGAGAAAGTACGCCCTTTCTCATGATAAAAGCAAGTTCCATGCATGCAGGCAAAAGTTTTTAAAACAAAATGAGGCCAATAATGATCCTTCCATTGCCCCTCATTCATCACCAAAAAGTATTAATAATACAAAACTCACTGGTGCTTTGGTATGTCGCAATTTTAAGCTCTCGGCCTCCAGTTGTAACAGATTCCTGGGCTTTTTGGGAGAAGAATCTAGAGCATGACAGTTTATGATGTTTTCACTTGTTGTTTGAGGCCTATCAAAGAAAAAAAGCATTTTTAGTTACAGACATAACAACGATCATACATCACCAATAAAATCTTCTTGCTTACTTGTACTTGGGATGCTCACAAAGCAGCTGAGACAAGACAATTGCCTCATATTCACAAATTGAAGTTTCTTTAAATGAGTAAACTTCATGTTTCCCAGAGTGATAACAAACATAAAGAACCCGAGTGATGCGAGGCTTGTCATTAAGGTCACACAATGTACCATCTACGACCAGGAAAAAATAGTCACCAATGAAACAACAACAAATATTAATTGAACCCAATAAATGACAGTAAGAGGTCATTTTTACCAGTCATGTTGATTTGGAAATAGGGCAAATTGAGACCATCAATTTTCTTAGTGGGTAAATCTTTCGAGAAAAATACTTTCTCTCCATTCTCATCAGTCTTTTGAAGCTCTTCATCTGTGAGAAATAAAATTGAAAGATGAAAAATAGAAGTGCACAAAAGTTAAAATGTTGAACAAAGTAATACATACGAAGAAGTCTCGTCATTGAAGAGTCCCAGCGCCCTAGGATGTATTCCTGTAACTTCACTTTCTTCCCTTCTCTTTCTTCATGGTATTGACGAACGTGAAGACCATGACAAATCTCATAGGTCCAATATGATTCCGGCTAGAAATGAAACAATAAAATTTGGTAAGCATCACTTCTTTGAAATAATTAACACTCTACGCCCTCACACAATTTGAGACAGCAATACTAGTCCCATTTACCTTGTAAGAACACGCTGTTTGTAAAAACAAAGGCAGTAATAGGTGTAAAGGATTGGGACCGGTGTAAAGCTCCGCTTCACTCTGAAAACCGAAAGTGGATAGAATTATGAATTGTAGATTTCGTTACACTGACATCATCCAAAACTGTACCTTTGGTTTGTCGTGAATTTCTGGCAGGAGACATTGATACTTTTCGAGATTTTCAGTAGTTACAAGCATAGACTCCGTACCAGGGAGCTCCTAAAACAAGCAGAGAATACGGCTGAAGAAATTAAATCATTCAGCATAACCTTCAAGACCTGCAGGAACTTAAAATATATGTTTCAAGACGTGAAGATTAGATCAGCAATTTTCAAAGGTCTATCAACCTCTGAACATAATTAGAAAAAAATACTTTCAAACTATGAAGCATAGCTCTAGGCAAACAAAGCACAGCACACGACAAAGATATGACAACAGACGACACCATTGTCAACATACCGGTATGTCACCCGCTCCTGGCCAATTGATTTTAAAAAGGATTGTGTCATCGAACGGTCTAGTATCGAAACACCAAGCAAAACCGCCCAAAAGAATGAAAAACGCGAAAATTGGAATTGAAATGGTTCGAGAACCCATTTTCCTGACAGATCTTAATGAATTCGTCCAACGTCGTCCGTCTCGTCCTCGTCGTCGTCACATTTCGTTTTCGGTTCGGGTTCGGGTTCGGGTTTCGTTTCGTGCTTCGTGTGCTCTTCCCGTTCGCTGTCGGGACTCGGGGAGGCGACGGTGGCGCGCTCTAACCTATCAGCCCGAACTACATCTCACAGCAGCCGACACTACGAAATCGATCAAATTTCGGTAGTTGGAAGTCGTAAAAACGAATCAAAGCCATTTACGAAACCAAGACACGTTTTTCTTCCAAACAAAAACACTTTGTTTCGACTGAAATCTTTTTTAAGAGAGAAAAGAGTGAAATATCAAACTAGCCTCGCGCTAGGTTTCTGACACGTTTTACCCCCACCAAGAGCAAAACCTTCTGCTCAGCTCCTTCTGCTGGAAAACAAATACACTGTGCAGACTCCCTGTCGTGACAGGAAAACATAATCGATGAATAATTGTCATTTCATACCATTTGGGACAGTTGCAGTCTGACATTTTCCTAACTATCTAAACAAAGTCCAGCCGAAATGTTCTCTCTGCGCGGTATTGTCCCGTCCACACAGTGCTGACCAAGGTAAAGGAAACAACAATTTTGTTGTGGTTTTCTGCTGCATTATGGCCTTAACAATTAAGGTTATTGTTTACTTGTTGCAGCTCTATCTGTGAATCACAATGCCTATTTATGAGCATGTGCCAAATGGTCACGAAGGCCCGTCGAATCTCTTGAGATCAAGACCGCACCCACCGAGGAAAGCATATGTAAGATTTATAAACACCAGCAACACTCCTGTTACTGTAAAATGGGTGGATTTTGATGGGAATCTCAAAACTTATCGAACACTCAAGGAAAATGAATATTTTGACTGTGATACATTCCAAGATCATGCCTGGGTTTTCAGAGAGTACCCATGGCACGATCCTATGGTAAGCAAAGTGGTTTGCTTGTGCATGCATATAAAAGTAATAGTTAAAGCTTTACATTATGAAATTTAATGCTACTGACTCTGTTACAGCATGTTGCCAATAAAGAGGTGTTCTGGCCCAAATCAGCCTTTGTCATGTTAGAAGGAAATTATATTCAAAAGCGGTCTTCAGTGAAAATTCACAGGCCGCTAGTATCTCTTCTTACTCTTGCTGCACGAGCTGTTCGTAACAGATTAAGATATATAATGGAGCCCTTCTGCTTGGAAATACCTTTCCTTTTGCAGGTACAAAAATGGTATTTATGATGAGATTGTCACAAATTTTTATTGTTTATTTCATGCTCAAAATGATAAATCTTTTCAGACAATGCTTGTTAGGCTCATGTTGAAGAGTTGGGAAGTCTCTCCAAAACGCCTAAATACTCAACTAAATGTACCTGAAGATCCAGAAAATATTATTTTGAAGAGTGATTTGGATGACTTTCAGTTGAATATTCTTTTCATTGTAAGTGTATGTGGTGTGGCAACCGCAAGGAAAACATGAAGCCTTGTTAACACTGATTCCAAATTTTTAATTGAATTACCTCTTGCAGAGTTACAGACTTTCCCTGCATGCCCGGAAACTTTTATCATTAGCAAGAGAAATGAAAGGTAATGGTAATGTTCGTGCCACCATTATCGGCCTTTTGGAAACAATGATCTGTGCTCTGGGCTATGAGGAGCAGCATAATGCCCCAGAGATGTATTCAAGGAAGTTAGCACCTGTCATCTGGAAGCAAATAATTTTCCTTAGAGTGTAAGTCTGGTTGCCTGATTTGATTTTTATTGATTAAGTTGCCTAAGTATGCCTCAAGTTTTTTATTTTTAAATTGTTTTTAGGCATTTGGATAATTTGCAAGCGTGTTGTCCTCTTGAAGAATTGGACCAAGATCGATCATACTACTATTATTTTCTTCAAAGATTGGTGGAAAGAAGGCGTCGCTTTATGCCAACTGACCATCGAAATTCACTCCAAAAATATCATTGGGAACAGCTATGTCTACTAGCAGGTGATCCGCAGTCTGAAAGCTTGCGGGTGAAAGGTGACCTAGCATATGACATTCCCGAACTCCTACCTCTATGCCAAAGAACAGAGTGGGAGTGGATTGATTTAAGGCGTATGCAGCTAAGGCATCATCCCAAACCAGAAATTGTCAAGATGTTCATAAGTGTGACTTCACAAATGCTTGCAATAACAAGCAGACTTGAAAATATATTCCAGGTCAATTCCAAATTTGAAAAAGTTCATCATGAAGTCTATTAAGAAATGTGGTGTCAGTAGAACTAATAAGATAATTTATTTCAGGTCCTTGGCTTTTTCCATTACCGTCTCACAGGCCAGCAGCTGACAGAGGAAACTATAAGTGAAGAGGAGGAGCAGCATCCTGCCACAGCAATCTGAAAGGTGAATAATTCACCTCAAAATCAAGAGACTGTTTTGATGAAAGGCACTTTTGAATTAACTAGAGACAAAATTATGAATTTAATGTAGCAAAGATTACCTTTGTATCCATCTGGCCCATATTGAATTTTGCATAAGTTGGCTTGAATTCTATGTGGGTCAGTAAACTAGTGAAATTATTTGTATTGCTCTTTATAGACATCTTCCTCATTCATATGTTGTGGTATCTGCCCCAGCACTGCCCATTCCCAAGGAACCCCAATGTCTCAGATATGTAATTGTGATCTTTTTAGTTTTTAGTCATGCATAGTTTATGCACTTTTATTGATGTCATGTGATAAATGCAACTCACTAATATTTTTGTGATGATTATGTTCTTCTTGGTACCACTAACGCAAATTTGTAAGACTGTAGAGGAAAAAGAAGTTTTCCCTATTTTCCTGACAATGATGAATCTAATTGAACTATGATATTTCTTCATGCCAGTATTGACAGTAGTTATTGAAATGTATTGTTGGTTCCATGTAGCGTACTTATAATATTGTGAATGTTTCGATGACCACTGGTTCATCAAAATGGTTCATCCCCTGTATCTCCGGAGCATTGATGTAAACTTAAGTAGCAATCACCTCAACTGCTTCAGTATAGATTTACCACTGTTCATTTTCTATTGTTTCAATCATTAATCATTGCTTGTATTGTGGATGCAATTAGGTGTAAAAATAGACCTTGGTCTTCCCTCGTTTATGCTGACATAGTTTGTTAATAAATTTATTGTTTTTACCGCCAAGTTCGGGTCTTTAACTCTGCTAACACCATTTGAGACTCGGAAGTCGATGCAACTAGCGAGTGAACCTGCGCAGGGCGCGTCTTCGAGCAGACACGTCACGTCTGGACACGTCCGAGGGTACTTGCCGGTACCCCTGCCCCCGCCCCCCAGTATTCGCACGCAGCCTCAGGCAGGGGGGCGTACGACAGGCCGGCAGGGCGAGGGGATGGGTGGGGTTAGACGTCTCGGCTAGCTCAGCACACGCCGGTCATCGTCACACAAACCTGTTGAGCGAGGCGAAGTGTGCTTTAATCTCGTTCGTGCTGAATCTCGACTTGTTCTCTATGGCCGTTGACTGACCATGGCCCTGCTGTCGAAGTGCAAAATCTGCCTTTTGTCTTTCGAGGATAGCGAAAGACAGGTGCAGATGGGAGACGATGTCGACGAGACCTTCAAGACGCTGTCGTTTAAGCTGCTGTCGATCGGCTTTTTCCAGGTGTGTAGTGCTCACTGCGTGCCGGCTCGGCCTGCCTTTGTGTCTTAACGCCCCCGTCGTGGGAACAGCTTCGAGCTTGAGTTGTCTGTGAATGTAAACACACGGCGGGGGCAGTGTGGAATGGGGCACCTCCGCGCCTCTTAAGGAATGTCCAGTGTCAGCACAGTCGCTTATCAGTCTTAATGTTTTGAAGGGCGGGGTCGACAGTGAGGTGCCTTGCCATCTCTGCCCTTGGTGTGCTGCTCGAGTTGAAGATGCCTATGATTTGCAACAGCGGTGCATAGAAGCCAGCAAGGTCTATAAACAGAAGAAGAAAAGGACTGTTGGACCAGTTAAGGTAAACTAACATGTTTTGGTTGTTGTTTTTGCTTTCATGATATTTTTCTGTAATTTGCAGATTTTTGATATTTATCCTTGTTTCCTGCATTTTCAGGATTCAAATACTGTGGAAACGTTGCCCGAGGAGGTGACAAGCCTGACAACGAACATTCTACCAGGGCTCATTAGAATATCCAAAGTGGGTTCCTACAATGCTAAAACAGTGTCTCACATTATGGCAGGAGCGCATGACATGTTTGTCAGTGTTCGAAACCTTTCGTCCTCCCTGAAGCAGAATGCAACGCTTTTGGCTAGTGCTGTTCAGTTCACAGAAACTACTCTCTCATTCATCATAGTGTTTCTGTCAATGAATAAAGTTTCATCTACCATGGAAAAAAGTGCTGAAGCAATAATGGAAGAAGCTAAAATGTGGAAAACAAAATCTGCTATGCTTAGTGACGCTGCAAGTTTTGTTGAGTGTGTGTCCCCGATGAAGGTAAAGTCACCTAGAGAACGTCCTCCACCCAAAAACATGCAGAAAATTGTTGAAAAACTTGCGCAAATTGGTGAGGATCTCCAGCAGAGGTCAAAGGATCTGCAGGAGGTTGAAGAGAATCTTGAACCAGACACAGAGGATAGAAATCAAGCTGCTGAGGATCTCCCACCAGATTCAGAAGACATTCAAAATCCCCAACCAAATCCAGAGAATCTCTTACAAAGTCCAGAGAATCTCCAACAAAATCCAGAGGATCTACAGAAATGTAGAGAGAATCTCCAACAAAATCCAGAGGATCTACAGAAATGTAGAGAGAATCTCCAACAAAGTACAAAGGGTCTCCAGCAGAATGCAGAGGGTCTCCGGCAAGATTCAGAAGCAGAGGACGTGCAGCAAAGTCATGAAAATTCACAGGATCTGTGCAAAAAGACGAATGATCTCCAGCGTGGTGAAGAGGTACTTCATGAAGATATCACAACTGTGCCCTGTGACCAAGGGACTAGTACCCAAGTCTCAATTCCTGATAATTTTGAGATTGCAACTGATCTGTCCCTAGCTAGACCTCATGAACCAGGTGTAAGTGAATCAGAAGACATTACTGAGTTGGCAACTCTTGAAGAACAATCTCTCCGACGAAGCTTACGAAATAGGTCAATGGTAGACACGCTAGTCTATTGGCCCAATTTTAAGAAGCAAGTTGCATGTGATAAACTGCCCACTCCAAGTTCTAAACCTTGCAGTTCACCAACCCTGACATCCACTCAGGCTTTAGATCGCCTACTTCTAAGGAGAGACGTAGATTCTGAATCTGATACTGGAAGCAATGAAAAGTGGGCCATTGTACACAAAAGAAAGTCTTCACTTCAACTTGAGTCTCGGAAAAGGAGATCAGGGGATCAAATTGGATCTGATGTCTCTTTACCTGCTACAGACTGCGCTTCAGTTGAGAATCAGTGTGAATCCACCCAAGAGGGAACAGAAAAAAATAGGATAAGGAGAGGAAAAATTCAACACATTGACAAGTTGAAAACCATTCCAAGAAGTTCAAATGTAAAGACTGAAGCTGTAAGTAGTGACAATCAAAATATTTCTGGTGATGTAGACCAACAAGGACTTGATAAAAATTTTGTTGAGTCTAATGGAAAAGCAGAAACTAATTCAAGTCTCAAAGTAAAACTTTTCTCACCAAGGACTAGGACTTGCAATATATGTGGAAAAACTTTAAAATGCACTAGAAATTTACGAGCACATATGAATATGCACACTGGCTCATCTCCTTATCAGTGTAGTTTTTGCCCTAAACTGTTCACTTCTAGTTGGAATCGTATTCAACATGAACGTGTGCACACAGGTATAACACCTTACAAGTGTGATTTATGTAAAGAGTCTTTCAGGTACAATGTATCACTCCGTCATCACAAATTGAAAGCACATGATGGTATGTGAAATTCTAATCTGTCATTATGTACATATGCATCCTATGCATATTTCAGTAAAATCATTTTTCAAAATTGAGAACTTGGTGACCTTCTGTTTTATTTATTATTTCCTTTGTTTAAAAAGCCAATTATGAGTATAATTTGCATGTATTTGAGCCAAGAATATAGTTAAGTTATGCAGTAATTTCTTTGTGTAGTTATCAATGGTCGTACCCCCAATCCATTACATAGAGCAAGCATGACAATAAATAATTGAAATTGAAAAAAGTAGTGAAGGGTGATGAGGAATCACGAGAGCCCCTACAGTATCCACAAATGTCTCACTAACGCACCCACTAAAGCTCTCACACATACAAGTCCTTATCAAAGTGGACGTCTAGAACTAGAGACGCGCTCGAGCGCCTGCAGGTACGCAAACCTCCCTCCAGCACGCACGCGTGTGCGCGTGTTGCCTACCCAGCGAGGGGCTCCGGCAGCACAGTGGGCCAGAAGACCGGTGGAGGTAGCCAAAATCCCGGACGCGTTTTGAGCTCCAAAGTTGCTACATGGTACCCGAACCGAAACGTGTGACCCCCACCAATGAATTGCTCTCCGAACGAAGCCATTGGTGGGGCCACACGTTCGGTTCGAGTCCGTAGTGACTCTGTAGCTCAATACGCGTCTAGAGCTTTGGCCGCCTCCACCGGTCTTCTGGCCCACTGTGCGCAGGCCACTCACAAGAACGTCCACCCCGGCAGCGCGGCCAGGCCTGGCGCGGCGGCCCTGAGTCCCCTGGGCGCCACCACCTGCTTGGCGGCAAGGACGGCCGTGGCCAGCGCGGTGTCGCTGAGGTCCAGGACGGCGCCGTCGCACGACGCGAGTACGGCCAGGTCCACGGGGTCGACGGCGGCCTCGCTGCCCGTCAGGCAGACCTCCGGGCCGGCCGCCAGGTTGTCGCGCACCCACTGCGGGTCGTCCGACGTCACCACGAACACCACGTCGGCCTGCTTGGACCGGAAGTGCGCCATGGCCGACCGGAAGTAGTCCACGCCGGGGCGACGCCGTCGGCGGCGGAGCCAGGGCGCCGAGTCGTTGCGGCGCGCGTGCACGGCGATGAAGCGCACCGGGACGTCGTCGCCGCCCTGGCCACCCCGCTGCAGGCGCTGGCGGCACACGTCCAGCACGGCCTGCGCGGCGAGGAGCATCTCCTTCTTGAGCACCAGCTCCTGGCGCAGCGCGGACAGGTGCGCGGCCAACAGCTGCGGCAGCAGTACGCCGCTGCGGCACAGAGAGCGAACGGTGAGAAGCTCGACTCGCAGAGCAGCAGAGCGCGGCGAACTCCGCGGCAGCACAGTGGATTTGCCAGAAGACCGGTGGAGGCGGTGAAAGTTCTGGTCGCGTTTTCAGCTCCAGAGTCGCTGAATGGGACTCGGACCGCAAATGTGACCCCACAAATGGATTGTCCGTTCGGAGATCAATCCATTGGTGCTGTCGCACGTTCGGTTCCAGTCCTGCTTGGCGCCTCTGGAGCTCAAAACGCGTCCGGAATTTTGGCCACCTGCGCCGGTCCTCTGGCCCCTGTGCGCTGCCTACCTGCGCACCACCAGCGGGACGCCGGGGTCCATGAACCTGGCCGGCAGCGCCTGCACGTCCTGGAGGTCGTCCTCGCCGAGGGTCTCGTTGTGCTGCGGGTCCAGCCGGCAGGCGGGCGGTAGCTGCTCCACGGCGGACAGCGATGGCCGCTCGAACAGTGCGGCCAGGTCGCGGAGCACGGCGACGGGCACCAGGGGCGTGCGCCAGCCCGTGCCGACGCCCCTGCCAGCAAAAGCAACCAGTGGATGAGCATCCCGACGAACCTCCAGCTCTGCACCGCGCAGTGGGCCAGAAGACCGGTGGTGGCGGCCAAAACTCTCGACGCGTTTTGAGCTCCAGAGCCGCTAAATGGGACGCGAACCAAACGTGTGACCCCACCAATGGATTCCTCGTTCAAAGAGCAATTCGTTGGCAGGGTCACACGTTCGGTTCGTGTCCTACTTAGCGACTTTACAGCTCAAAACGTGTCCAGATTTTTGGCCGCCTTCACCGGTCTTCTGGCCCACTGTGCATCGCCTCGCCCAGCGCGCACCTGGACACCAGCCAGGCGGCGGCGTACTCGAAGACCCTGGTGCCGGCGGCCGCGCCCTCGGAGGCCTCCGTGGTGATGACGCCGTTCAGGGGGCAGGCCGGAAGCGGCGGCAGCGGCGTGGGGGCCACTTCCGGTGGGGTCGACCTCGCTGGAGCAAACCGCGGAAAAGAACGGCGGTGAAAAAAGAAGAAATACGAACTTTTTATGAGGGTAGCTTTTCTTCTCGGGATGACGGGGCTTCCGAGTCGTGAATCTAGTGCAGTGCCGCGGTAGCGCGGCGGCGGCGGCGGGCAAGGTCACACGCACGGGCAGACAGACGCGGTCGCCCAAATCCCTGTGTCAAGACAGTGGCGCGGTTTAGCTCAAGCCCGCCGTCAGACACACATACACTGCAGCGGACCTGCTAAACACCGATTTAAAAAAGGAAGCCGTCGGTGTTTGAACCTGGGCGCCCGCGGCGTGGCCCGGCGTCTTTCTTGCCCCGACGTCTGCGATCCAATATCGGTGCGTATTTGCACACTAAGTACCTTAACGACCGGGTACTGTATCGTAACGCGGCCATAAATACCCCGAGTGCTCGGGGCGGTCTTCAAATCGATCTACCGGCAACCCGGCTGGGAAACCGAGAACCGCGTTGCCCGCCGTTCGCTTACCCTGCTCCGCGACCGTCGACGGCGTCCTGGCGTCCGGCCTGGACGTCGCCGTCACCAAGTCCTTGAGCTCGCCGTCGTCCAGGCCGTCGGACTTGGCCGTGGTGGTGTGGAGCGTCCCGAAGCGCGCCACGAACGCCCGGAGCAGGGCGCTGTCCTGCCAGTCGGACGCCTTGGCGGGCACCTTGGCGCCTTGGCCGAGGCCTTGGCCGAGGCCTTGGCCTTGCAAGTTGGACAGCGGCTTCAAGTCGCTCAGGCGGATGCGGTCCGGGTCTGCCTCCTCCAAACTGGGAGAAAAAGTTCAATAGTTTTTTTCAAAATAGACTTTTTGGGCATTGTTCCTGCTGCCTGTGCCGTACCCCTCCGCGTCGTCAGCCTGCGCCGCGCCCCAGCCGAGGAGGCCGGCGATCCTGGCCAGACTGAACGCCACCCGCTGCTCGTCGTCCTGGTCCGCGTCCTCGGCGCCGTCCACCAGGCCCTCGCCGTCCTCCAGGGCGGCGCGCCGTCCGTCGGGCAGCTCCGGCCCCGCCCCCAGGAACTCCGCCCCGCGCAGCGCGGCCCCGGGGGGCGGCTCGTCGGCGAGCCCCGCGGACCCGCCGAGCAGCGAGCGCTGCTGCTGCAGGTTGAGGAGCGCGCCGACGACCACCAGCCCCAGGGCCACCGTCGCGATCCTGGCGAGCCACACGGCATGCTGCAGCTTCCTCCCCATCGCGCACCTTCACTGCCACGCGCCGCCGCGGCGCCGACACCTCACCGTCGACGGAGTCATGACGGAGTCCTTATCGGACGCCGATACCCCTTGCCGCCGCGCGGGCCGCGCGGGGTATCGCCGGCGTGGCGATGACGGCCTGGCATACATCAGGCCGGCAGACAGGCCTGCCACCACTTTTGGGGAGAGACGGAGAGGCCCGCTTTCTTTATTCATGAGCCTCCCTCTCTCTCCCTCTCTCTCTGTTCCGCCGGCCGACACCTCCCCCCTCTCTCTCTCCCTCTGACGGCGTCGGCGCTCGCCTCTTGACTTTCTCCTTGTTCTCCGCGCCGAAATAAGCCGCGCCATTTTTACTGCACTCGCGCCACCGCACAGAGCTCGCCTTGCCTCGAAAGCCCGCCGACTGCCCGCCCAGTGTGGCCACCCCGCCACCCGGCCAGGCGAATTTCCAAAATTTGAAAACTAAAACCCGGAGCGTGCAGACTTGGCAATACTGGACCCCGCTCTCGAAAATTTCCCTCAAGTTCTCAGGATTTTCCAACCCTTCTAGCACCAGCCAGCCTATCGTGTAAATTATTTGCCTTTGAGTGCCTACACTGCTAGGCTGCCTGCAGTGAAGGCAACCGCCGGGACGGCCGAACACGCGGCGGGGGCTCCACAGCCTGAGGCAGCCTGGCGGGTAGGCAACACGGTGGACACGCCAGCTCCCCGTCAAGTAGTGCACCACACCGCACTGTCGTCTCTCTCTCGCGCACGTGTGTGTGTGTGTGTGTCTTAGTGTGTGTGTGCGCGCGCGTGTGCGTGTGTGAAAGGCTGAGTGAGTGAGAAAGTGAGTGGATGTGAGCGCGTGTGATTTTTTTTTCCTCCGTCTGGGAATGATGAAAAGTGCTGTGGCTGGCTAGCAGACTGTCTGTGAACAGAGGTTTCGTCGGTCTGTCTCTCTCACACCTCTACGGGACCCGCCACGAGTGCGAGAGAGACAGAGCGAAGAATCCGTTGATCGGTACCGCCAAGAGCATTTCTCAGCCCAAGAGCATTTCTCCGCCGAGAGGGAGTCAAAAGACCCGGTTCAAAGGAGGCAGTGGTTTTGGTTCCGTCTGTCACCGCCCCCAGTTTTCAGAGCGCCACTGGCGCTTTACCAGTGTAGCCCCCTCTTTCTCCCCCTCACTCCACCCCATATCAAGTCACTCAGTCACCGCCTTGCAATTTTTCGCGTCCAAAGTGTTTTTCTGAAGGGGAAAAATGGAGGCGTGTTGGCTGCTGGCTGGCCACAAGGGGGGGGGGAGGGGGAGGTCTCTCACGGCTCGCCAGCAGGCAGGCAGCAACAACGCGTGAACCACCACCACAAACAACAACAACTTGGTCTGGAACAACAACAACTAAGCCATCAACAACAAACAAGTCCTCTCTACCTGTCCCGCCGTCTCTTTCTAGGTCATCGCGCCGCGCATCCCCAACCCCACCCCCACCCCTGCGGCTTCTTCAGTCGTCCCGATTCAGATTCACATTGCCTGCTGTTTCCGGGACGCTGATTGCTTTTCAAGTGGTGCGGCGTCAGATGCTCTGCGGAGGCTGGGCGAAGCCGTGGCGCGCCTGGCTGGCTCTGTCCCTCTCGCACACCCACGGGGCGCCCCGCGAGTGCGACAGAGACGGAGCGAATCAGTCGGCAGCAGCTGGCGGCATCCTTTCGCAGTTTTACAGCGTGAGCGGGAAACGAGTGT